AGTCACTCAATAAGTTAGTCAAGTCATTCAATAAGTCAGTCTAGCCATTCAGTAAGTCATTCAAGTCACTCAGTAAGTCAGTCAAGTCACTCAATAAGTTAGTCAAGTCATTCAATAAGTCAGTCTAGTCATTCAGTAAGTCAGTCTAGTCATTCAGTAAGTCAGTCAAGTCACTCAATAAGTCAGTCAAGTCATTCAATAAGTCAGTCAAGTCACTCAATAAGTCATTCAAGTCACTCAGTAAGTCATTCAAGTCACTCAGTAAGTCAGTCAAGTCACTCAGTAAGTCAGTCAAGTCATTCAGTAAGTCAGTCAAGTCATTCAGTAAGTCAGTCAAGTCATTCAGTAAGTCAGTCAAGTCATTCAGTAAGTCAGTCAAGTCATTCAGTAAGTCAGTCAAGTCATTCAGTAAGTCAGTCAAGTCATTCAGTAAGTCAGTCAAGTCATTCAGTAAGTCAGTCAAGTCATTCAGTAAGTCAGTCTAGTCATTCAGTAAGTCAGTCTAGTCATTCAGTAAGTCAGTCTAGTCATTCAGTAAGTCAGTCTAGTCATTCAGTAAGTCAGTCTAGTCATTCAGTAAGTCAGTCTAGTCATTCAGTAAGTCAGTCTAGTCATTCAGTAAGTCAGTCTAGTCATTCAGTAAGTCAGTCTAGTCATTCAGTAAGTCTAGTCATTCAGTAAGTCAGTCTAGTCATTCAATAAGTCAGTCTAGTCATTCAATAAGTCAGTCAAGTCATTCAGTAAGTCAGTCAGGTCACTCAGTAAGTCATTCAGTCAGTCACACAAACTCCATGTTAACCTCTTTTTCTGTGTACAAAGTAACACTTCAGTTACGGGTACAGGTTATCTCTTGTTTAATATCTTTGTTAATTCTAAGACTTAAGTGCTTATACCTCTTTGTGCCACTTTCAGCAACACTATTATGGCTACTGGGTGTCATGATTGCTTGACAAATTCAAGATATAGTAATTAAAATATCATAACACATTTGACAAACATAGCTGCCTTGTAGCAGATTATGGCTACTGGGTGTCATGATTGCTTGGCAGATTCAAGATTTTTTTTTTATTAACACACAGGCCGATTCCCACCAAGGCAGCGTGGCCCGAAAAAGAAAAACTTTCACCATCATTCACTCCATCACTGTCTTGCCAGAAGGGTGCTTTACACTACAGTTTTTAAACTGCAACATTAACACCCCTCCTTCAGAGTGCAGGCACTGAACTTCCCATCTCCATGACTCAAGTCCGGCCTGCCGGTTTCCCTGAACCCCTTCATAAATGTTACTTTGCTCACACTCCAACAGCATGTCAAGTATTAAAAACCATTTGTCTCCATTCACTCCTATCAAACATGCTCACGCATGCCCGCTGGAAGTCCAAGCCCCTCGCACACAAAACCTCCTTTACCCCCTCCCTCCAACCTTTCCTAGACCGACCCCTACCCCGCCTTCCTTCCACTACAGACTGATACACTCTTAAAGTCATTCTGTTTCGCTCCATTCTCTCTACATGTCCGAACCACCTCAACAACCCTTCCTCAGCCCTCTGGACAACAGTTTTGGTAATCCCGCACCTCCTCCTAACTTCCAAACTACGAATTCTCTGCATTATATTCACACCACACATTGCCCTCAGACATGACATCTCCACTACCTCCAGCCTTCTCCTCGCTGCAACATTCATCACCCATGCTTCACACCCATATAAGAGCATTGGTAAAACTATACTCTCATACATTCCCCTCTTTGCCTCCAAGGACAAAGTTCTTTGTCTCCACAGACTCCTAAGTGCACAGCTCACCCTTTTCCCCTCATCAATTCTATGATTCACCTCATCTTTCATAGACCCATTTGCTGACACATCCACTCCCAAATATCTGAATACATTCGCCTCCTCCATACTCTCTCCCTCCAATCTGATATCCAATCTTTCATCACCTAATCTTTTTATCCTCATAACCTTACTCTTTCCTGTATTCACTTTTCTTCTTTTGCATACCCTACCAAATTCATCCACCAACCTCTGCAACTTCTCTTCAAAATCTCCCAAGAGCACAGTGTCATCAGCAAAGAGCAACTGTGACAACTCCCACTTTATGTGTGATTTTTTATCTTTTAACTCCACGCCTCTTGCCAAGACCCTCGCATTTACTTCTCTTACAACCCCATCTATAAATATATTAAACAACCACGGTGACATCACACATCCTTGTCTAAGGCCTACTTTTACTGGGAAATAATCTCCCTCTTTCCTACATACTCTAACTTGAGCTTCACTATCCTCGTAAAAAAACTTCACTGCTTTCAGTAACCTACCTGCAGCATCTGCCACATTGCCCCCCTATCCACCCTGTCATACGCCTTTTTCAAATCCATAAATGCCACAAAAACCTCTTTAGCCTTATCTAAATACTGTTCACTTATATGTTTCACTGTAAACACCTGGTCCACACCCCCTACCTTTCCTAAAGCCTCCTTGTTCATCTGCTATCCTATTCTCCATCTTACTCTTAATTCTTTCAATAATAATTCTACCATACACTTTACCAGGTATACTCAACAGACTTATCCCCCTATAATTTTTGCACTCTCTTTTGTCCCCTTTGCCTTTATACAAAGGAACTATGCATGCTCTCTGCCAATCCCTAGGTACCTTACCCTCTTCCATACATTTATTAAATAATTGCACCAACCACTCCAAAACTATATCCCCACCTGCTTTTAACATTTCTATCTTTATCCCATCAATCCCGGCTGCCTTACCCCCTTTCATTTTACCTACTGCCTCACGAACTTCCCCCACACTCACAACTGGCTCTTCCTCACTCCTACAAGATGTTATTCCTCCTTGCCCTATACACGAAATCACAGCTTCCCTATCTTCATCAGCATTTAATAATTCCTCAAAATATTCCCTCCATCTTCCCAATACCTCTAACTCTCCATTTAATAACTCTCCTCTCCTATTTTTAACTGACAAATCCATTTGTTCTCTAGGCTTCCTTAACTTGTTAATCTCACTCCAAAACTTTCTTAATTTCAACAAAATTTGTTGATAACATCTCACCCACTCTCTCATTCATTTGCTCTCTTTTTACATTGCTTCACCACTCTCTTAACCTCTCTCTTTTTCTCCATATACTCTTCCCTCCTTGCATCACTTCTACTTTGTAAAAGCTTCTCATATGCAAACCTTTTCTCCCTTACTACTCTCTTTACATCATCATTCCACCAATCGCTCCCCTTCCCTCCCGCACCCACTTTCATGTAACCACAAACTTCTGCTGAACACTCTAACACTACATTTTTAAACCTACCCCATACCTCTTCGACCCCATTGCCTATGCTCTCATTAGCCCATCTATCCTCCAATAGCTGTTTATATCTTACCCTAACTGCCTCCTCTTTTAGTTTATAAACCTTCACCTCTCTCTTCCCTGATGCTTCTATTCTCCTTGTATCCCATCTACCTTTTACTCTCAGTGTAGCTACAACTAAAAAGTGATCTGATATATCTGTGGCCCCTCTATAAACATGTACATCCTGAAGTCTTCTCAACAGTCTTTTATCTGCCAATACATAATCCAACAAACTACTGTCATTTCGCCCTACGTCATATCTTGTATACTTATTTATCCTCTTTTTCTTAAAATATGTATTACCTATAACTAAACCCCTTTCTATACAAAGTTCAATCAAAGGGCTCCCATTATCATTTACACCTGGCACCCCAAACTTACCTACCACACCCTCTCTAAAAGTTTCTCCTACTTTAGCATTCAGGTCCTCTACCACAATTACTCTCTCACTTGGTTCAAAGGTTCTTATACATTCACTTAACATCTCCCAAAATCTCTCTCCTCTACATTCCTCTCTTCTCCAGGTGCATACATGCTTATTATGACCCACTTTTCGCATCCAACCTTTACTTTAATCCACATAATCCTTGAATTTACACATTCATATTCTCTTTTCTCCTTCGATAACTGATCCTTCAACATTACTGCTACCACTTCCTTAGTTCTAACTCTCTCAGATACTCCAGATTTAATCCCATTTATTTCCCCCCACCGAAACTCCCCTACCCCCTTCAGCTTTGTTTCGCTTAGGGCCAGGACATCCAACTTTTCATTCATAACATCAGCAATCATCTGTTTCTTGTCATCCGCACTACATCCACGCACATTCAAGCATCCCAGTTTTATAAAGTTTTTCTTCTCTTTTTTAGTAAATGTCTACAGGAGAAGGGGTTACTAGCCCATCGCTCCCGGCATTTTAGTCGCCTCATATGACATGCATGGCTTACGGAGGAAAGATATAGTAATTAAAATATAACACATTTGACAAACACAGCTGTCTTGTAGCAGAGAAAGACTGGACACGTATGAATTAGGAATGCTGGGATTGTGGGGGGTGGTGTCTGGGAGTGGTAGGGGATGGTGGGGGGTGGTGTCGGGGAGTGGTAGGGGATGGTGGGGTGGTGTCTGGGAGTGGTAGGGGATGGCTCCCCGGCTGCTACACAACAAGGCGGCCACTTGAGCAAGAGAATTTTTTTTTCCTTCCCAGAAACTGAACCGTGTTAAATTAATTATACAACGTCTACAATAAAATTGTGCAGCAATTCTTCAATGGCGGTCTATTGTATTATTATTATAACAATAGAGCTTCAGTTCCCTAAATTAATAATAACAGTAATAATAATAATAATAATAATTTATTATAATGATAGAGCTTCAGTTCCCTAAATTAATATAATAATAATAATAATAATAACAATTAATAATAATAATAGTGCATAATACGTATGTAATAATTCAGATTGCTTCTATTAGTTGGCACAGCTGGTAAGCAGTAAACATGTTTACATCCCTGTGGGGGCAGTTCTCTCGTGCTTGTTTGCATTTTTTTTACAGTCATTTGGCCAAATTTCTTTTTTCTAACAATGAGTCCTAGCGATCTACTGCAGTTAGCCTCAAAAATATTCTGTTTTCTCTTACAGTAAGAACATGGGAAGATACTAGAGTCAAATTGGGACAGAAATGGCTGACACTTCTGCCGCTGCCACTTCCTTTGCCACCATATTATGGACTATTTTATTCATTCTAGAGTACATATCATGTTTCTGTGGTAATTATATTGTTTATTATGTCATATTAGATGAATTGTCATAGATAAATAAGCCGTTCAGTTAATAGTGTCATATTCAAATATTTTTTCTCATCTCTCCAGAGTGCAGGAACGAATTAATGGCTTTTCAGTTAATTTAAATGAGGAAAATTAATTTGATATACGAGTAAATTGAGTTATGAGCTAGCTCCTGGAATGGATTAAACTCATAAGTCAAGGTTCCACTGTATTTCATAAATGTATAACTCAGTTGTATAATTAGAGAAACCTTACCAAACTATGTTGTTATAGCGTTACCTAGTAGAATATTCCATTCTCTTGAATGCACTGTAACTCATCTAATGACCATATGAACTATTACTGCACTACAGATCATTGATTTGATTTGATTAGATCTGATTAATAAATTGTATGACTACATATAGTAAGTTGGTCATTTTGTTATATTATTCATTGTAATGTTACAAAATTGTAAAACTATAATGCTTCAAAATTGAAATGTTCAAATTTCATTGTTAAAAATACTCAGTTGTACTTGATATTGTAAATTGTTTACTATAACTGTCCCATTAATCTTAAGTTAATTTTAAGCTTGCTCATAATGCTCTGCATACAAGGGGCTTTTGACATGTACACCCAACTACTATTATACCTTGTACAATTATGTATCATGTCTTGATAAACTATTATTATTATTATTATTATTATTATTATTATGAACTGTGATTGGAATGTTATCTATGGAAATAATATGGGAAAGATCATGAGCTTGGTCTGAATTCTGTACTGTAATGAGGTGCGTACCGCTTTACCAATACAGTGGACCCCCGGTTTACAATATTATTTCATTCCAGAAGTATGTTCAGGTGCCAGTACTGACCGAATTTGTTCCCATAAGGAATATTGTGAATTAGATTAGTCCATTTCAGACCCCCAAACATACACATACAACCGCACTTACATAAATACACTTACATAACTGGTCGCATTGGGAGCTGATCGTAAACCGGGGGTCCACTGTACTATGGTTAGAAAGATAATCAGTTCGAGATGTCAGTTATAGTGAAAAGAATTTAGTCCACTGCATCTTTGTAAACATGGTGCGCAAAAGGAGTGGGTGTCGCATAGGTCGTTTTTAGGTACACATCAAAGAACTGTTATCAGTAGGTGGTCTGGAACATTTAGTAGTAGTACTGCAGGCGGTCCGACCTGAGGGAGGTGGGTGATCCAAAAACGTTGCACCGTATTCGGGGAAGCCAGACACATTGTTAATGGCATGCAAGAGGCAGAGACATTAGACATTAACAGAAATGGGTGGCGCCTCAGCACCTGGAGCAGGTGAAGAAGCGGCACCAGCAGAAGGTACAGGGGTATGAGAAGAGTCTAGAGAATGGTCCAATAGCGAAGCTGGGTCAGAACAGGATGTGGGAACAAAAAGAGGCCTGGGAGGAAGGTTATCACAGAATGAAGACTCCATGATAGTGGTGCTTCTTATTATTTTAAAGAAAAACAGGAAAGAAAAAAAAGAGGGACAGCAGAGGGACAGTCACTAGAAGGCATGGAAGGGCTGTAAGTTCTTCTCTCCATCCCAGAGGGCTTTGAGCCCATGAGCAGTGCAGATGCAGTGAGAAACCTGTGCCATACCTTACCCTTCATGCTAGTAAACCAGTGCTCCAGGATGGCAACTTCACATCTACCGAGCCACCTTGGTGGATAAAAGAAAGGGCGATCGGAAACCCGCCACATAGCATATCTCCTTTGGCTGTCACCTTCCAGAACTGACAGGCAGCCTCTGGAGAAACATCCATCATCTGCAGGATGCTCGGCCCTCTTCTTGGAGATCCGGGAAGGGAGCAGGGCACCTCCAGACAATTCAGATTCTGTGGCAAACTACACCACCCCCGAGGATTCCATGGAGTGGGATAACCCCAGCACACTTCCCCCTACCTAGAAACCATGGGATGGGGAGGGGAGGGTTGGGAGGGGGAGGAAAGGGGGATGGGGGGGATGGGAATAGGAAGGGAGGACTGGGGGTACTTAGGTTTGGTCAGAGGAAGGAGACCAAAGGGTTTAATTCCTTAAACCAAAAGCCTCTTTGCCTCATCAAGGAGTTCCCCTTGAAGAAGCCTATTTGAAAAAATAATACACAAATGACATAATCACAGACAACACTACAGACCACTACCCAACCTTTCTGATAACTAATCTGGGCAAACTTCCACAAGACATTACTAAAGTAACCTTCAGACTACATAACGAGACAGCAGTTAACAACTTTATAGCAGCTATGAATAACATTGATTGGCAAAATGAGCTCAAAACATATACAGATATGAATGAATGTATAAATAATTTTCTAAAAAAAGCCCAAAGCCTCTATAACAAACATTGCCCCCAAAGAACTAAACAGATCACAGCAAAGAGACTGAATAATCCCTGGCTAACACCAAGCATCCTCAAATCCATTAACACAAAGCACAAATATGAAAAACAGTTTAGAATGGGTCAAATACTAGAGAACAGTCTAAACGTTACTCGTCAGCACTTACCAGCCTGATAAGAAGATGTAAAAAATTGTACTATGAAAATAGATTACATAACATCAAAGGTGATATGAAAAAAAACTGGAAAACTATCTGAAATTCTTGGAACTAAAAAGATATCCAAAAACAAAACAAACAATCAAACTAACAAAATCAGATGAACTCCTACTCACACCAACTGTAACGGCAAACAGACTCAATGTTGTCTTCTCCACCATAGGAAAAAATCTAGTGAACAAAATACCAAGCGCAAACACCTGTCCATCAGACTACCTCATAGGTACCTACCCAAATACGCTATTCCTAGCTCCAACCAACCCAATAGAAGTTACACTCATCATAAACACCCTTAAAAACAAGGCAGGAGACATAAACAACTTGTCTGCTTTTATGTACAAAAAAGCTTCTCAAGTATTGTCACCAATTATTTCAACACTCTTTAACAAATCCATTGAATCACCTACCGTCCCAACAATCCTCAAAATAGCAAGGGTCACTCCGATCCACAAAGGAGGTGACCAAGCTGACTTGAATAACTATAGACCAATATCTAACTTACCACTGCTCTCTAAAATCTTTGAAAAATTAATTCATAGATGGATCTGTTCCTACCTCGTCTCGCACAACATATTAAACCCTTGTCAGTTTGGATTCAGGAATAAAAGCACAAATGATGCTATCATACACATGCTAGAACTAATATATACCGCACTCGAAAAGAAAGAAGTCCCGCTGGGCATTTTCATTGATTTACGTAAAGCTTTCGATACAGTCGACCATGAACTGCTGTACTTCAAAATTTTTGCACTGTGGTATCAGAGGCCACTCCCTCAACTACCTAAAATTATACCTTAGTAACAGAGCTCAATATGTGTATGCAAATGATGCAAACTCTTCCACCCAACCAATCACAGTAGGAGTCTCACAAAGAAGTGTCCTTGGACCACCCCTCTTTCTCATCTACATCAGTGATCTACCGAATGCATCACAGCTACTCAAACCCATATTATTTGCAGATGACACTACATATGTCTTTTCCCACCTAAACAGAGTCATACTAGCAAACACAGTCAGTGCTGAATTACAGAAAATATCTGCCTGGATGATGACTAATAAACTTACCCTGAATACTGATAAAACCTATTTCATTCAGTTTGGAAACAAAGCTGCAAATGATCCAATTAACATAATGCTAAACGGATCATCAGTCACAAGATTTACAGAGGGAAAATTCCTAGGTATCCACCTTGACAGTAGCCTTAAGTTCCAGACACATAAAACAAATCACCAAGAAAATCTCCAAGACTGTAGGCATACTATCAAAGATAAGGTACTATGTTCCACAATCAGCTCTCTTGGCACTGTACCATTCACTCATATACCCTTATCTTACATATGGAATTTGTGCATGGGGATCAACAACATCCAATCACCTAAAACCTCTAATAACCCAGCAAAAGGCAGCAGTAAGAATGATAACAAATTCCCACTCCTGCCAGCATACTCCACCAATTTTTAAAAGTCTGAATCTGCTCACCATTAAGAACATCTATACTTATTCATGTGCCTACTACATACACAGAACAATACACGCAAATATAAACCCTCCACTCAAACTTCTCCTCACCAACCTTAACAGGACACATGACCATAACACAAGACACAGATCTCTTTTTGATGTACCTCGTGTCCATATCACACTGTGTAAAAACTATGCCATAAAGGGCCCCACAAAATATGGAATCCATTACCAATATTTTAAAGTAACCGGCTGAAAATCAATTAAACTCTTCCACGCCATTAAATCCCCTAAATAAATGATAATACCCAGTACACACAACTTACGTACTCCCAATCATAATTCAACAATACTTTGAATTTTATCCTTTATTGACAGGAATGAATTGAACCCTGTTTCAAAAAAAGCATTTTGAATATATGAAATTCTTTTTATACAAATTAGATTCACATAAATTAATAATCTACTGTAAACTATGAAATAAATTACTATCCTACTGTACACTAAGATATATCCTAGTGTTAAGTATCTGTAACCCAAATAATGTTTGTTGGCCAAAATGCTTAGACATAATAGAGGTCTTTACATGCAACTCACTATTGTAAAAAACAAACCCAAATGTACTTTTTGCAAAGACTCCTACCTTATATCAAACAACATACTTAATCCCTGCCAGTTTGGGTTTAAATAAAAAAAAAAGTATGAATGATGCAATTATACAAATGCTTGAACTAATATACTATACAGCTTTTGTTAAAAATGAATATCTTCTGGGGCTCTTCATTGACCTACGAAAAGCATTTGATATAGTGACCACATCCCCTGAAACCTAAAATATATCATTATGGCATCATAGGACATTCCCTTGATTACCTAAAATCTTATCCTAACGACAGACACCAGTATGTACAGTGGTCCCTGGTTTTTCATAATTAATC